CCTTCCTCACTCCTTCCCTCCCTCCCTCCCTTCTTTCTTTCTTTCTTTTTGCCAGATATGGTGGAGCATGCCTGTGATCCTGTTATGGTGGAACATGCCTGTAATCCTGACATGGTGGAGCATGCCTGTAATCCTGACATGGTGGAACATGCCTGTAATCCTGAGATGGTGGAGCATGCCTGTAATCCTGACATGGTGGAGCATGCCTGTAATCCTGACATGGTGGATCATGCCTGTAATCCTGACATGGTGGAGCATGCCTGTAATCCTGAGATGGTGGATCATGCCTGTAATCCTGAGATGGTGGAGCATGCCTGTAATCCTGAGATGGTGGAGCATGCCTGTAATCCTGACATGGTGGAGCATGCCTGTGTTAGTTATTTAGCTGCGTTGTGTTCTTACCCTGCAAGGAAGTGTCACGAAACACGACAGAATCTGCTTATAAGAGTTTATTAGAGATAAAGGGATAGAGAGTGCGCAGGCCTGTGGGAGAGACACGTGAGTGGAGATGAGAAAGAGAAGAAGAGAGAAGAGAGAACCAGGAATATGGCGCTCCGCTTTAAAACCGGCTGGGGGCATGGCCAGGTTATGTCACTACTCCACGCATGTGTGTAGATCACATGGTCACGTTGCACACTTACGTGGCCATGAAACGTCACGGATCCTGGTTACATGAGATGCCTTGACCTGGAACTTGCTAGGCAGAGGTGTCCAGGTCCGCCGGATATCCTGGTTACGAGAGACGCCCTGACCCGGAAATGCCTATCCTGACCTGGAATTGGCTAGGCGGAAGTGTCCGCCTGGTATATGCGACCGTGGGGGCGTGTTGTGAACCCTTCAGCCTGTAATCCTGACATGGTGGAACATGCCTGTAATCCTGACATGGTAGAGCATGCCTGTAATCCAGATATGGTGGAGCATGCCTGTAATCCTGACATGGTGGAACATGCCTGTAATCCTGACATAGTGGAGCATACCTGTGATCCCATGAGACTGAGCTGGGGGTTAAGCACTCAAAACCAGATGATTGCAGAAGGAGAACCTGTCTTGAAAAACTAAAAACTAAAGAAAAACAAAAGCAAAAATAATGACGAACCCTACTTTTCCTTATTTAATTTAATTTTTTAGAGTGTGTATGTCCGTGTGTAGGATTAGATGCACATGAGTGTGAGTGCCCTTGGAGGCTGGAAGAGAGCGTCAAAGC